TCTCTGTGTCCACTCTCTGTTTCTCTGTGTCCACTCTCTGTCTCTCTGTGTCCACTCTGTCTCTCTGTGTCCACTCTGTCTCTCTGTGTCCACTCTGTCTCTCTGTGTCCACTCTCTGTGTCCACTCTCTGTCTCTCTGTGTCCACTCTCTGTCTCTAGAGACACACACACACACACATACCTGGTACATTCTGCTCATGTTATTTTCGTTTTAAAATCTGGGCAACAAATATAGAGAGATGTTTTTGAAAGGGGGCAGGGTGAGAAGATTAAATTAGTGGATTCTCGAGCCAGTGATAACAATGTAGGAACTCGCGTGGTCGGGCTATCCACAGACTGGCACACAAGTTGACCTTGTGTCTACATCAGTTTTGGTCCAGGTGTCAATGTCCACATCAGTTTTGGTCCAGGTTTTGGTCCAGGTGTCAATGTCCACACCAGTTTTGGTCCAGGTGTCAATGTCTACATCAGTTTTGGTCCAGGTCTTGGTCCAGGTGTCAATGTCCACATCAGTTTTGGTCCAGGTGTCAATGTCCACATCAGTTTTGGTCCAGGTGTCAATGTCCACACCAGTTTTGGTCCAGGTATCAATGTCCACATCAGTTTTTTGTCCCGGTGTGGGGGAGTATGTCAATGTCTTCCACCCCGCCCTGATGTCTCACGTGACATCTGTTTGTTGACATTTGTTTTGTTGACATCTGTTTGTTGACCTCCCCCCCCCCCCACTCTGTGTCGGCCAGGAGTGAGCCCGTCAGAAGTCTCCTTTGGTTTTAGAAATTACTTTTTATTCATTGATAAGGAAATTTATTCTTCTCATTTTGTGGAATGACATTCATTTCTGGATTTTTTTTATTTTTTTTTCAATTCTGTTTTGTCTTAGGCTAATTACTTGTGATTTTTGTTTTTATGTTCTGTTTTTCTATTCTATACATATAATATATATATAGGTAAAAAAGAGAAGGTTGAGTATTTCTCCATGGTGGAGCCTGTTGAAGCGAGCAAGCTTTGTCGGAGGACTGGGCTGCACGCGTTTGGTTGTGTACATAGATGATGACATCCCAATGTTCTTTTACCACTACAATACTTAGCTTGATGTGCGCTCTCGACTCCTCGTCATTTTATTTGGCCTCATCTCCTGACTGGTCGGGCTCCACATTTGTTTGTTTGTTTGTTTGTTTGTTCACAGCCAAGCTTAACAGTCCTGTGTTTTATGAAAATATGTCCTTTACTTCATTGGTCAGATTTCCGAATCAGAAAGACAGCCC